ATCTAAAACAGAGCAGTCTTTTCTTTAATCCTCCAGCTCATCCTTTTCCCACCTTCTCCCGACATCAAGGGCCGCATTAGAGAAAAGAAGCCACAGAAGGACAAATTGAGGCTTAAGTTGAAAAAGAGACTGTGGAACCACTTTGGCTTAACAATGAGAGACTAAAATATATATTGAAGAGACTTTCTTTCTCAACCCTCATTAATAAAGACACATCTTTCTTTCTTTTCTGACTGTCTGCCTGAGTCAAAACCAGATATAAGAACTCCTTGGTAGTCTGTTTGAAGGTGTTCGGGTCCTTTGAGACATATAAGATGAGAGAGAGAGACTGGGAAGTAAGGTATAGATGTTGGTTTGGTATCATCAAATAAAGCTACTGCAAACTTCAAAAGGAATGATCTGTCATTTTCCACTAAATAAATTGATCTTTCTTAACTGAATATTTTTTCTTTTCTTTTTCTTTTTTAGGAATGGAACCAAAATATACTTCCATAAAAATTTTGGCCATATTGAGAAATAGTTTAATGCTATCGTAAGATTTGTAACTGCTTTGCTAGTTTCTAGAAACTACAATTTTTATCGTATAATGCTCAAATTGAAAAGCTATAAAAAAGAAGTGACTTTTCCTGCCTTTGTAATAGTTGAAAGTTACACAATACCAGTTTTTCTGTTTGTTCCTTATCAGTGCAATAATACTGCAAGAATTGTATTTGGATGAAGGCCTATATCTACCCAACAGTTCCAGTCTTGTTTTTGCTAACCTGTCAATTTAAAGAAGTGGCAACAGCTATGTTTCCCATTGGTGAACAGAACAGAATAGCCAGAACGGATGTGTGTTCTCAGGGCACTGGAATCCTAGTGACAATGCAAAAGTCCTGTGAACACGGATTGGTGTGGCTGTGGGGCTGACTGGAGGGCATTCAAGGTCCCATCAGTCCTTGAGATTCTTTCTACTGCAGAACTGTGAGGAACAGGAGCATGCTTCTGCTGATTATCAAGCCAGAATAACTGGCATCTTCAGCAAACCAACCCATCTCACATACTATCTCCTGTGAAGGAAGAAGTGGGGGCATTATCTTTTATGCATTAGGCTCCGGAAAGTGAGGAGGAGACATCCCAAGGATGTGTTCCTTTAAAAATTACATTGGCTTGCTTTACCTTTGCTAAGGGGAGAAATTGTTCTGTTCTGAAGCAGAAGGTGAACATTACCAAAGCCTTGTGAATTTTGCTTCGGTTGATTTAAAGGGCTAATTCGTAAGGACTGACTTCATCCTGCCACTTTAGATCCACTGAAATGTCCTTTAATAATCAAGTTTTGTATTAATAGCTTTACTGTGCAGGAGGAGTGAAATCAATATATAATTTAGTGGCTCCTCCTGTCAGGGGCATTACTGGTTCTATTACTAATGATTTTGAAATGATATGCCATTATGCAAATCCATTTGTTTTAGATGTCTTTGCCAGGCACCTACAAAAGTACTTTTTCCTTTTTCTTCATCTTTGATTTTCCAGTATCATAGTTACCAAATACTTCAAAATTTCCTAAGAATTGTGATCCTATGAATAGAGATATACTAGTGATAAATCATAAACGCTTATTTTATATGCAAACAAATTGTGTGGAGCTGTATAACTAGATTTCTCACACTCATCAGCTATTCAAAGTATAGAAAATAGGTCAGGTGTGGAGGCTTACGCTTGTAATCCCAGCACTTTGGGAGGCCAAGACTGGCAGATCGCCTGAGGTCAGGAATCCCAGACCAGTCTGGCCAACATAGTGAAACCCTATCTCTACTAAAAATGCCAAAATTAGCTGGGCGTGGTGGCGGGCACCTGTAATCCCAGCCACTTGGGAGGCTGAGGCAGGAGAATTGCTTGAACCTGGGAAGCGGAAGTTGCAGCTGATATCGCACCATTGCACTCTGGCCTGGGCAACAAGAGGGATATTCTGTCTCAAAAAAAAAAAAAAAATCCCCTAGAGGATTTAAATACTTATGATATTCACCAAGGATTAGAAACAATATGTTGTTCAGTGATTTATTTATTTGTGAATAAGTTGCATTGTGAACATGAAACAGGTACCTTTTATACACATTCTCCGTATTAGCAAGGCTACTTCTAACCCCACTGTGATTTATTTCTATAATCCAACAAATATGTGATGAGATGCAGGGTGGTTTGCAAATAGAAGATGGAGAAATGTAACGTCAGATGTTTTTAAGTAATGCTAACAAGAATACTGCAACTTGACTCACAGTGAGGGGTTTCAGTTTGATGTACCATACAATGAAGCATCTTGATAATGGATGTTGGACCATCAGGTCCGGAGGCCCTTTTATTGTCCAGCAACACTTTCCTACCCTTGGTCTCACCATGCTGTTCGTTTTCATAGAAATGTACAACTAAAGTTTAAGATTGCAAGACTGTGAGATGGAAATGAATACCCAAAATGCATAAGTTTTGTTGACAAAGAGGAGAGACACTTGGCAGTTCTGTGCAGGGTAAATTTAGTCTAATTTACGAAATCAAATTCAGTTCTAATGAACAAATGATCATCACTCCTTACATCCATCCTCTTGTGCTTTCTCTAATATTTTATATTTTTTGGATATTAGGCAACAATGAAATATTCCAGTATAGTCACCACAGGCTAATTTTTATACTAAATAGATTCTAAAATATAGTTCTAAAAGTTAGGAAGGAGCTGTTCACAGTATACATGTAACTGGACATTATCATACTGTTGGTACTTTCATAAATATCTAACTACTCTTTAAACAATTACTGTGGCTTTAGTCAATTATAGCTGTTCATTTAGTGTTCATATTTCAGTACTTGAGGACAGAGCTGAGATAGAAAAGGCAGCCTCATGACCTGCAGCTTCTCAGGAGTGAGAAATTGGAATGTGAGTATCATTCAGGGATGTTCTTTAGCTGAGAAACAGGGAGTACATTATTGGGTGTCAGGGAACCAGAACGAATCATTTGGTCTCAGTTCTACAACGCTGAGCTTAAAAAGCAAGACTTAAGCATATGGTATTAGGGGCTGGGAAATTCAGAGAATTAAAAGTAACTTCTACCTATGACGCCTTCATATTAGGAAAGAAGACTGATATTCTTTGGCATGCATAGATCTAATGAAACTTGATGGCTTGGATAAATACAATGAAACAAGATTATAAACCAAATTCCTTTCAGAAGACCTAAAGATCTCCACCAAAATTAAAGAATGGCCATGACATGACGCTAAAACTCTGTGTCTACAAACACCTCATTGTTTCAAAAACATTGATCAGAATTGTTCTTGGTCAATGTCATTGTTCAAGACAAATCAGTGTTTAAGAGCCTTTTAATAAGTTGTAGTATATGAAATGTTTACGTCCTTATTAATTAAAAGGTAACATTAGATTGGTTTATTTTCAGGGTCGTCAAGAATGCTTATGGAAAGTTGGGATTTGCATAATATTTACATTTGTCCTACTGGCCTGTCAGTCACTCATAGCCATAGGACCAGAGAGCAAGAACTGCTAAAGGTTGGATTACAGGAAGAATTCTCATCAAAACACCATGGTGTATTGGGGATGTTTGAAAGTAGTGTAAATGGCATGGTTCATAGAAAGTTAAAACTCAACTTTGGGAGAATAAAAATAACTACATCATCATGACGCCCACCTGCTGCCACCCCACTTTCAAAACCGCTGTTGTGAGGCCACAGCTTCCATCTTTAGAAAGACAAACAAAACATGAACAACTTCCTGCTATGGTCTAGCTGGAGAAACTAACCTGAATAAGAATTTGATTCTAAGGCATTGGGTGGGGTGAGATAATTTGACTATATTTTCTTTGTGATGTTTTTATTCATTTATTTTAATAACAATTTATGATAAAATATTATGTTTGGAACTATAAGAAAGCACAATGAAGGGAAAAAATGACCTGTAAAGCCTATTGCTCAGAGATAACCTCTATTAATATTTTGATGGGATTTTTTTTTACTTGTTCTAAAGGAGTGAACTCCAGGGCACAGCTTAGACAATCCAATGGTTAAGGCATTTACTAAATTAATATATTTTTCTTTTCTTATTATTATAATCTATGTTTTTCTGCTTTTCCTTCTTATCATGATGACAGACCTATTAGTACTTAATGCTGTGTTTTACCTAAAATAATTCTGTGGCCCTGGGCAGGGGAGCTATGCATGGGTGACCTTTCCGATCTTTCATACCTATCTGATACCCATTCTTGAAGAAAAAACTCACAGTACAGAAGTTTCTCGATTACTGTTTGTCTGAAAGTGCAACTGGTTAACCTTGCTTTCCTCTTCTCTATGTTCCTTCTCTTCTCTTTCCTCTTCCCCTTGTTCGTCAATTTCTATTCTCTGTTTCAGCAAAACAATATCAGTCAAGGTAATTGATGATGAGGAGTATGAGAAAAACAAGACCTTCTTCCTTGAGATTGGAGAGCCCCGCCTGGTGGAGATGAGTGAGAAGAAAGGTGGGGGAGCTGCTCCAGGGCTGAGCACAACAGCTTCTGCTGGCCTGTGCCACCCCTGGATGCCTGCACTCTTCAGAATGTGACTTTCAGTGCACACATCCCTCCACCTATGTAACAGGGCACAGATCTCATGCTGAGCCACGGTGGGCGGGCCCGCAGCTACATCAGCCAGCGTTGGTTGCTCTGCACATTAACATCTGAGAGATTAATTTTCAGGGCAGTCAATGAAGTGTCCATTTCTGGGAAAGTTGCTGCAGACGCTATGCAATGCCAAAAATGAAGGCAACTTTCTGATTTATCTTCCTAATTTGGGGTACTGAAATGAGCAAAGAAAACTTATTGGGTGCCAGCCGAGAGTACCAAGATGCCCTTTTACATACTTCAGGAGGTCCATGTGCTGCCAGTTCTCCCTCCATAACATCACAGTAACATTCAGCTTGGTGGACACCAAGAGCATGAGCGTGTGACACCAACCATCTGTTCTGCCTTTGTCTTGTGTTCCCACAGGAAGATCATTACCATTAGAATATTTGACCGTGAGGAATATGAGAAAGAGTGCAGTTTCTCCCTTGTGCTTGAGGAACCAAAATGGATAAGAAGAGGAATGAAAGGTGTGAGAGTAAACAAAGACATACCAGCGAGAAATTGTACTCTTCTCTCTCCGTGTCTCCCTACTCTCACACTTAACTCTCTCCTCTTCCTCGGCTTCCAAGTACTATACTTCTTTGCCTTAGAAGCTTTAGCAGTTTCATTTCCCTTCCCTAATTCACAAGTGCAGCAGGCAATGCCCACTCTCTTCAGGAAATGCCAACTAACCTTGATTGCAACCAGATTTAATAACACTGGAAGAGATTTCTGTAATTCAGAAATGATTATATAAAAGAATGTGCTTAGTTTTCCACTACTCATGGTTTATTCTAAAATGTCACTTCAATTATTAAATCTCCCTTAAAATTTTAGTGATAAAGACTACTTAATACCGTGTTAATCATACCTCAATAAAGCTGGAAAAAAGAAACTGCTTAATACCTGTTAGTATTAGTAAGTGACCCTAATGGCAACTAACAGGAAACTTCAGAATTCAGTATTTAGGCTTATTTAGAGAACACCGTTTAAAAATGTTTAATAAGAACAAAGATCCTTAAAGAGTAGTGTTATCAATATTCTAGTGCTCATTTTAGCATATTTTTATATCATCAAATATGATATTTAAAAGGCACCACATATATCAATTGTCTTTGGTCAGAAGAACAGGTCCCTTCAGTAAGATGTTAACCCTTGGTGAAGGCCTACCTACCCTTATGATCCAAAATCTTGCTCCTTACTGAATTAATCAATTATTAACATTTATAGTAAAAAGAAAAAAATAAGTGTCTTTTATAACTAGACTTTGCTGATTGTACTTACATTTTTAGAAACTATTTGAACAAAGAAACTAATTTTTCTTCCTTAGCTATCTATTTTATTAATATATGGCCTATATTTCATAAGGAAGATAGCAATCTTCTATCAGCTTTACAGAGGATTTTTCATTCTGCATTGTTAATAGGGCTTCGTATAATTATTCTCTAATCGTGGCCATTTTAAAAGACATTCTGGTGATTTATTTGTTATATAAGTGAGCAGACCACATATTAATAGTTGTTATTAATTGCATACAAACAATTGGTGAGAGCATTATGATATGATGAGATGGGCCACTTTGCAAGAAATTGATCCTTTTACATGTAGAGGGAAAAGTAAAACATACAGGACTTACTGCTATGTAGACACACAGGAAAATTTCTCCCATGTTTTTGAGAATTCATCAGCCTCAGAGTTCATCAGGGAGAAAAACACATATGCCCCTGTGTTAATCAAGTTCAAGATGGCAACAGGAGCCTTTGGAGTGATGGGAAAAGGAGCACTCAAGATCTGTTTTAATGGAGCCTATTTAACATGCTCCATAGATAGAGGAAAAGGAGACCAGAAAATTGTGCAGATTCCTTACAAAGATGGTATCCAAAATGCCTCATTTATACAGGAAAAAGCACTTTTCTAAGTGTATTTCTCCAAAGAACTCTCTTTTATCTCAAGGAGGAGCATCTTGGATTCTGCTCTTTCAATTGTCATTTTTGTAAAATATGCCCTCACGTAACAGCAAATTAAGATTCCTTAATAGCACTATCTAGTTTCGCACGCTCCAGGTGCATTCTTGTCACTATAAACAAATGACTGACTCTCTTTAGAAGTATCCTCTAATGCCACCATCATGAGAGAGAAACTGGGTCCAAAAAAGTAATTACAATGTTCCCATCTTCAACTCAGGATATACTTTGATATATTTAGCAAGGTTCCTTTTACTAAAAGAAAGTGCTACAGTGCATTCTGGGTTTAAAGCACATAACCTGAAAGACAAATTATATAAATTATATCCCCCCACCCCCGACCCAATGCCATGTCAGTTTCGTGGGATTATATGTCCACTGGAAGAATTCTGGTTATCTAATAATGTACAGAAGTCACAGATAAGGACACAAATAGGTGTTAATTCTCAGGACTATTAGGCTTTAAGGATTTTTAAACCTAAGCAATTCTTGGTAGACAAAATATCATCCAAATAGAGCATTCCAAGACAGTGCTTTACCTTGGTCTAAATTTCCCTTCCAGGCAGGGAATGCAAAATGGAATTTCCCAGATGTTTCACCTGTACTTACCGAATAAAAGGAGTACTGTCCGAGATCCTGGGTGATTTAAGACTTCCATCACATTGGATTGACCCAATCCCAGGCAGTATTTAATGAGGAAGCTCACTCATATCAAGTTATGAATGAATTTCATACAGTGTTTCTACTGTATTTGGTAAACTAGATTTATATACTAGATATAAACATAGAGAGTATAAATGTCTTATTCAATGTAAAGAAATTACATGTAAGGTGAAATATACACACACACACACACATATATATGTGTGTGTGTGTGTGTGTGTGTGTATACGTATGTGTTCAATCACACACATTTTCAGAAATTTCAGTTGGGATTGTTTATTCCCAATGTCGTATTTCTCTGGGGTGTACACATTTTTAGCAGTGGCTCCCTACCACTCTAAATCAGATCTGCCTGGATTTCTTTCTGCTGATATTCCTCTTACTTTCATTATTCATCTGGTCTCTTATTCTGTGTTTGTCTTTGTCTGTTTCCTTCACAGCCCTGTTATTGAATGAGCTTGGTAAGCATTTCATTTCTTGCATTTCCTTTCCATTTTTCTAGATGATTTTCCATTTCTGTCAGGTGATACAGTAGCTCTCTGACTTTTATTTCTCTTGATTTGCTAGCAAGATTGTTGTTCAGGGCCATTGACCTCATTTTGTCAAGGTCAAATAGTCTATATTGCATTTTTAATTTAGTACAACCTTTTTAAAAATCAGTGATTTCTTAGGTATGCAAAAGAATTAAATTGGGCATTAAATTCCATAATCTTAAAAGAATGACTAGTGATTCAGTCATGAATGTTTTCCTATTCTTAATTGTAAATATAATTTGGCAAGTACCTTGGGTGGGTTGTCAGGCAGTCTGATGTCACTGGTATTTGTTATATAGAATGTAAGGAAAATTATAACACTTTTTTGTTTTTTTTTTCTTTTTTAGGTGGCTTCACAATAACAGGTATGAATTTTACAAGTCTAATGCTATCTAATTTTATTTTTACTGTCTGTTCTTACCAGGTGTTCTTACATTAAAAAAATTTTCTCACTTTTATTTGCTTTTAATGAAGGAAAATACCTGTATGGTAAGACTATTTTTTAAATGTTCCTTATTTTCCCCCAAATACTCTTAACAATCAATCCAAACCCACATCTTATGTAACCTACATTAATATTTAACCATGGCACATGGTGTGCTCTTGCTGATTTTACACATTTTATGTTTTACAAATTAATAACGTGTGTGTGTTGTGTTTATAAGTGGCTCATATGGAGAAATTGTAATTGTTCATATTTTGACACTGGTCAATTTACAAATGTTCACATAGTGCCAAAAATGTACAGTTCCCTGATAGAGGCTCCAAAGAGCACTAGAATAAATAAGACATAATTGCTAGCCTCAGAGAAACACAGGAGCTGACATTCTAAGATAGATCCATGGTTCAAGCTCAGGATCCTAATAATACATAAATGACATGTTGAGAAAATACATAAAAATACATAATTTTAACACAAAAATAATTCATAAATTATACAAATACATAATTTATAACACATAACACTATGTTGAGCACAGCCTTCCCCTCATCCCATCACACCAATCTGAGCATCTCTCTAGGGACTTAGGTTTTAGTATTAATAACATGGTGACGAGTACTATTTCTGCCCCTTGAAGTATATTACAAAATATTCTATAAAAACTCAAAATGTCAATAAAAAAGTTTAAAACACTTAAATTTAGAATGGTACTCAGCCTGTGTTCGCTGCATTACTTAACACAACCCTAAAGCTATATTCTTGTGTACAAAACAAAGATACTTCCTCACAGCCTTCTCTTTTGTCTCTAAATATCTTCTCACCCTTTCAGAGTCATCTGAGCACATTTAGAGAGAGATAAATATTTAAACAGCAGGACTGATTTGTCTGAAGCTGTAGGCTGAAGATATCTTCAATGGCCTACATCCTATATCACTGTGTGACATCTTCCAATATATTGTGCAAATATCAATCAGAGATCTGAATAAAAATATTTAGAAGGAAATAGTCTTCAAATTTCTAATAGTGAAAATACCATGTTGGGAATTGGGATCAGCTTAATCCACTGTTAGTGTAAACTCATCAACAAGCAGTTCCAATGTGATTCTGTCCAAAGCAGAATTTTCTAAATATGTGCAGTTTCATGTGGGCAATTTCACATGGGCTGTTGCTCTCCACTGCTTCTCTCTAGACATGGCATTTACTGACAAAATGATTCATAGACTTTCGGAGACACAGAAGTCGAAAGGGATAAAAATGTTAAACAGGACAAGTCTTTGTATTGGATTTCTTAAATCTGATTCATCTGAAGCTCTTTCAGGTCAGATCTCCCCAGTTCTGCACTACTAAACCTTATTTCTTAAATCAGCTGCAGAAATTTATACTTTTTTTTTTAACACTTTTATCTCTTTTTTTCTCATTCCATCATTTTAACCGCTTGAAGTCCTCTTGTAAATACTCTGTCACCCACAGATAAACTCGTTATCCCTGGAAGATTTGAAAATTTAGAAATTTGGCAAGCCAGTCTTTATGAATGAAGTAATAATGTTTTTAAGTCAACCATTATAGAAATAGTATACTATCCAACAGCACCTTCCATCCTATAAAGCCTGATAAAGATACCTTAACTAAGCCAGGTGCAGTGACTCATGCCTGTAATTCCAGCACTTTGGAAGGCCAAGGCAGGTGGATCACAAGGTCAGGAGTTCGAGACCAGTGTGACCAACATGGTGAAACCCTGTCTCTACTAAAAATACAAAAATTAGCCAGTGTGGTGGTACATGCCTACAATCCCAGCTACTTAGGAGGCGGAGGCAGGAGAATCACCTGAACCTGGGAGGTGGAGGGTGCAGTGAACTGAAATCACACCACTGCACTCCAGCCTGGGTGACAGAGCAAGACTCTGTCTCAAAATAAATAAATAAATTATAAATAAAGACCGTAACTAAAAATCTGTGGCTACTAGGATGCTCTGTTAAAAAGCACTGATGTGTTCAGATATCTGTTTTCTCTATTATTGAATATGTTAGGATTTTGTTTTAAGGCCCTTCTATGTCATTTGAGCCATCCTCTCTGTTAGTATCTCAGTTTATGGGATCCTAGTTTTCTTAGAACTTCCTCACATCAAATTATATTACGTCTGTCTGGTAATGTCCAACATTTCCTGTGTTGGCCAAATCTGGCATCTAAGATGACAGAATTACCTCCTCCAGAGGTGTCTATCATTTCATGTAGTTAAGTTCTTCCTATGGCTGAAATGGCAGTTTTTCAATTGCTATCACCTCTTGCCAAGACTTAAAATTAATGCAGTTAGAACAAGAGACTGTTCCAGAACTCTGGGAATTTCTGCACTGGCCTGTCCATTCCTACTTTCCTAGAAACTCTCACTTTACATGACCCTTCTTCTCCTCAATCAAACCAGAATGCCTAGGATCCACTCTCTACTGATGCCCCTGAGGACAGTTCTAAAACTTAGGTCTACAGCAAAAAGCAGCTTTAAGACCTAAAGAACTTTTCTTTGAAGTCAGTTGGAGGCTTTGAAGTCCAGGCTTTGAGATGCAGGGGCAGTAAGAAGAATTAATCTAGCCCTGGGACTTTGCCTGCAGCTTTTACATGGACTTGTGCAGCTGAGTGTGAAAAATCTAAATTTGAAGCAGGATAAATGGAAATTGAAAAAGTCATCTGATCCACAGCCTAATACCAGTATTTCAGAGATCTCATGCATGGTGGACATTAAGTGTTGGAGGTGCTTTTGGAATCTGCAGATCTTTACCTATTTTTTTCCAGACCTTGCCTCAATGAAAGACCCTTGTTTGGGCCTATGATCTCATTCCCCTTTGACCTTCCAGTCGGATGACAAGATAACACTCCAAATATTATAGCTCATTAGAGTTTGTAAAGATTTCTTTTTCATTATATCACTTTATCACCAACCTTATGGTGTAAGACATTATTGTTCTCATATATAGGGGAGGAACTGAAGGTTTAAAGAAATTAATGATGACCTCCCCTACCCCAGCACTGTTCTGTTTCCTCCCCTCTACCTTCTTTATTTCTTCCTGCATCTTGAAATTATACACTGAACCTCTTTTCTACTTAAAACCCAGATCTAGCTAATAAGTTTCATCATTATAAATTCCAGTTAAACAAAAAAATGAGAAGTACCCCAGAAGGGGAAAACTAGACCATATAAACATGAATAGTTTAATAAATTAAGTATTCTGGCTCAATATGGAGAGAATAATGTATGTAAGATCCCCAGAATTTCTAAGACATACAATTATAGTTCTCTAATTAAATAAAATTTATATCAGTCAGTGTAACTATTTAATATTACTTCTCCAATCATATTGTGCTCATCACATAATACACTTAATAAGACACAGACTTTTTAAGGAAGCCAAACTATGAAAATTCTGACAGTTTAAAATGTTTTCATCACCTCAGTATGCAGGCTGGAGGAACAAAGCCCCTTCAAATTCAGCTTCACTTTAGAATTGAGAAGCCTGAGAGTCAAAGAGGAGAAAGACCTTGCCCAAGTTTAGATGACAAGCATATGGCAGAGGTGACACTGAAATCCCGAATCTCACGATTCCCCGGTCAGTTATGGGTAGCTGTTGGTGGAGGCAAAAAGCAAGTGAATCTGGAAGTCTGCTGAACCAAGAGTTCAATGTTAACCCTAGGTTATCCAAACAGTTGCTGTGATGACGACCTACCTTTGCAAAACCTGCAAATGTACATAACATTCCCCCCTTCACACTGCTCAGGAAATAAATGTACTAAGCATATCCCCAGATGTTGTGTTACTTGGTCCTCAAACAAACCTGTAACATAGACAGAGCAGGTACTATTATTACCATTTTACATGGGGAGAAACTGGAGAAATGGCCTATTCAAGGCTGTATTGTTGGCACGAACAGGCTTCACAACCACAACACCTGCTCCATGATGCTTCTGGAAGCGGTACCTTGAAGGACCTTGATATACCATTTAAGACATCTGTAAGAATCTGGCTGTACCCACTACCATGGGGCTCGCGGTTTGCAAACATAGTCTGGTTTGACTCATGAAATACTTCCCCATCTCTGAGCAGTGACCTCCATCAGTAACCTCCACCAGAGCTCCCTTCTGTGACCTACCTAGGGGTGACCTGTGACCACTTAATCCCCAAACTAACAGTGCTTGTGATGTGTGCATCTGAGTGTGATGTTTAGCTTACTAATTCCACAAATCTCTGATACCAAATCAATGCAATCCATTCTGCTGATTTTTCTGCCTGTCCTTTTGCTAGGCCAACCTGTCTTCAGGAAGGTTCATGCTAGAGAACATCCGATTCCCTCTACTGTAATCACCATTGCAGGTACTCATTTCATCATGATCCTTGAAAACCACAGCCTCCAAGAGTTCTTTAATCTTTGAGACGTTAGAGTCATGCATTTTAGCCCCTCTCCTTTTTCTCTAAAACATTGCTAAATACTGCTACAGCTTCTGTGGCAGCCAGTGTTATGGTGGATCACAACAAAACACAACCACATTGGGGCAGAAAAAGAGCACTGAGAAGGGGATAGCATCAGCCTGCAGAGAAGAATGATCCCATGGCCTCTCTCTCCTGAGTTTCAATATATTCCAGATTTCTTACAAATATTTTTTCTCACCATCAGTTTTTATCCCAGGTATAATGAAGTTTCTTTATTTTATTTATTTACTTATTTACTTTGTGACAGGGATTCATCTCTGTCACTCAAGCTGGAGTGCAGTGGTGGAATCAATCACAGCTCACTGCAGCCTCACCCGCCTGGGCTCAAGGGATCCTTGCACCTCAGCCTCCCGAGTAGCTAGGACTGCAGGCACACACCACCATGCCCAGCTACTTTTTCTATTTTTTTGTAGAGACGGGGTCTCACCATGTGGCCCAGGCTTGTCTGGAATTTCTGGGCAAAAGCAATCTACCCACCTCTGCCTCCCAAAGTGCTAGGATTGCAGGAATGAGTGACCATGCCCAGCCATGCCGGTTTTTTTGAAAGCTGAGCTGTATTTCATCCCAGAGCCTGCCCTTGCTGCCCCCAGCCTCCAGGCAACATGATGTAACCAGAGATGCAAAGATGATAGTACCTCTGTGGGGTTTCTCCATAGGGGAAATACAGGGTGACTGGAGGATTACACAGCTATCCCAGATCTATTAGAGGTTTAGAGCCCAAATATCATCCCCTTACACGGAACCTCTGGACGATGAGAGATATTTACTCTTTAATCATCACTACTGCCCACACTGGTCATGCAGTAGAAATGCATCTGCCTGACACAATAAGACATTTCTTATCCTCACATCCCACATGCCTGTTCAATAATCATGAAACCCAGACCTGACTACAGAGTTGATCAGAATATTCCTAATGGAAATAAACTATCAGTCTCTTTAGCCTCCAATCAAAGAGGCCAGCCACGTGCTAAAAATTGCCAAGAGAGACCTCTGCTTTCTGACTTGTCAGCATAGCTCTGAGTGGAGGATCAAAATGAACTGGAGCAAATTGTCCCACCACTGGCCTTGAATGTTTCTCCAAATTCTACATTGTACAGTTTTAAAATGTGACTGCATTAAGGATTATCAACAGTGTCCCCTGAGGTAGAGATGTTGATAATGAGATAGATCTTACGGGTTGTGTTGTTTTCCCACTCCCGGCGCTTCATCTCTTACACTGACACTGCTTCAAAATGCAGCTTGAACCAGAGAGAAGTAGAAACAGCTTTCTGGCTGGGTGCAGTGGCTCACACCTGTAATCCTAGCTCTTTGGGAGGCCGAAGCATACGGGTTACAAGGTCAGGAAATCGAGACCATCCCAGCCAACATGGTGAAACCCCATCTCTACTAAAAATACAAAAATTAGTCAGGCATGATGGCAGGTACCTGTGATCCCAGTTACCTTGGAGACTGAGGCAGGAGAATCACTTGGACCCGGGAGACGGAGGTTGCAGTGAGCCCAGATTGCACCACTGTGACAGAACAAGACTCCATCTCAAAAAAAGAAAAAAAAAACCTTTCTCAAAATGCTGCTTCTCCCAGATGCCAGGTACCTATTAGCTTTTATTATTTGCTGTTGTTTGCAAAATCAATTACTCAGGAAAAGGGAGAACCCCCACTGGTGAATCTATCCCAGGATTGTTTTATGTCCTGTCAATATTGATTTTAACAGTGGCTGTTAATTATGCGTTTGATCTTTAAGTTGTTTGGATTGGTTACGACTATGATGTTGTGTAATTTATTCCCAACTTCTCAATAAAATATGGTGAATTTTAAAGAGGAGAAAGAGAATATATTTTCCATCTGAGAAACGAAACTAAAACCACATCATGTTATCTGTTCTGCAGAAGTAAAGAAATGAAACTGACCTCAGCCATAGTGAAATACTTTTGATCCAGTGCTCAAGGAGAAAAGGAAACAAACAAAATAGATGATTAAAATTTTAAAAGTGCTATCAAACCATTTCCCTATTCAACAGGAAGTATCTAAAGAGAGAAGAGAGAACAGTTTTGTTAAAAAATAGACCCAGCTCTCATTTTTGCCAGTCAAAACTCTAGACCATAAATGTGAATTTATCAGTATAACTGTAGAGCAGTAATGGAATCTATACAGCTGCCATTTCTCAGTTACAGATAAATAAAAGTTTATGATACTTAAGTAAAAACAGCCCTGACCCTTCCATGACCCTGTACCGTTGTACTTTGACTTCTCTCTGCCTGGAATGAACCTTCTCACTCCACCACCTCCTAGCCATCCTTACCATCACCGTCACCAGGCAATCTTCTGTATGTGCTTCAAGGCCAACTTCAAATAGCTCCTCTTTCCAGAGGCTTCCTTCCCTGACTCTCTCCAGCCAAGTGAGTTGCTTCCCCCAACCCTGGTCCCCTAGTCCTTACCATCACATGTTCCTCTCTGCATTACATCATAAAGTTCCTGGAAGATAGAGCGGGGAGGGGAGGAGTACAGCTGTGCTGACATGATATGGAGTACAGTGACGTGCTCAATGAAAAAATGATCCCTTTTTATGGGCTGAGCAACTAAAAGGCTTTATTAACAGTGAGTTGGAAAGTCACACAGCAAATACTTACTGAGCGCCTGCTATATTCTACATATCATAATAGGCGCCAGAGGACGCAAGGGTGATTCAGAGTGCAGTGAGACACACTGTTCTACTTCAGCGAGTTTATATGCTGGATATTTGTAGGTAAAGGTAATTAGAAATTTAAGAACAGTATATGAAAATGTCCGTGTTTATACACACAACAAATATTAAGGAATTAATATAAGGTTGGAGTGGTAGTTCTTCAATCCCCTCAGTCAGCAATAAGGAGTTATTTCATGCCAGAAGAGGTGGGGTTTTGAAAGACAAGATTTAACCAAATGGAAATTGTAAAGCTCTTCCAGGTGAATACATAACAGGATAAAAGTGTGGAATTAAGAAATCCAAGTCCATTTGAAGCCAGAGTGTAGCAAATGACAGAAACAAGGTGCCTTACTGTTTTTTGGGGTACTATGAAGTTAAGACAACATTCCCTTCGTTTTTGTCATTCCCATACCTCCTTTACCATTTTTGCTTTGGTTGCATACCAAGTATGCTATTTACCTTAATGTAATTCTTAAAATTGCCTCATGTTTAAACTTTACTAAGTTTTTTTAAAGACAACTTTAAGAAAAACTAGTATCATTTGCCACAAATAGAAAGTAAAATCTAAAAATTTTCACAATGGAAAAAAAGGTATTCAGTTCTAGCTGGATAATGGCAAATGCTCTATACCTGAGAACTATTTTGACTATTTTAAAAGGTACAAATCTAGATATTAGGAACTAGTTACAGATCTAATAGCACCAAATTAAGCATTTCTTCCTGATCAGAAAGACTGAAGGATTTTTGAAAAAGAAAGAACCTTTTCACTCATTGTATGATTCGACTTCATTTACTTAATCCATATGCAGTTTTTAATGCCATGATCAAAACCAATCCAATTATGTGAAATTCTGCACTTACTGATGCTACCACATCACCTTTCTTTTGTAATTTCTCCATTTTTTCTATGTAGATTGCCTTAAGTCCCATTAAAAGCAACTTGCCATTTATAAGTAAACCACAAAAAGAAGGCTATAATAAATATTCTCTCCCAATGGCTTCACAGTTTAAATAGATGTCCAAGTTGTCATATTCCTTCTGAGAAAACCATTCTTGTTTTACGTGAAGTCTTCGACTCATCGATATTCAACCAGAGTTTCAAACAAAGATGCTAACATAAACTACTGCTATGAAAACCACCAATAACGTTATCCTGGGTACAAGGATCAGAAAGCAGTGGTAATCAAAATGATTAATATCAGTGATGGATAAACTGCACTTCATATATCTCGGCCAACTCTCTCAACTAGACACACATAATTTTGCGAGGACAAATCTTGGAGATTCCAACCAGAACGCTTTGCCTTCCATTGGGTCATGACTTCCCAATTCTACTATAAAAAATATTACCACTTTTACAATTAAAATTAATCTCCTTGCCCCTCTTCTTTGCCTCTGCTAACATCCAGCAGCTTCTGGCCAGTCCAAAATCATTAATTTTTAGTCTTCATCTATGCCCTGCAATCTCTGAGGCTAGGAAAGCAGACTTTTAAATAGGCTTTTAGGAAGACACTATAAAGTGTATACTAAAGAACTCATCAATATGCTGCATTCTGCTTTTGCCTTTCGTTGGTTTTGACACTTGAAATATTAAATGCTGGCAGTGCCTCTAGCGCATTTGCTCCCGCCCTCGCAGTGAGGAGCTAGCCTAGGAACCATTCCCTCCAACAGTTGCTAAAGCAATGATGGAGCCACCATAGCAGGGTCCCTCAGCAGAGGGAAGGCCATGGGTCTTTGGAGTTAATGGGAGGTGTGGACTTCTACAGAAGCTGATGTCTAAGGGCACCAGGCAGGAAGCCAGGACCAAACATTCTTTTTATTGGATGCCTTTTCAGTCAACAGCCCCTTATTGGAGGCACTTTGTCGAGAAGTCCTAGAAGTGAGGCCATCAGGCTGAGGTCTTTCCATGCCACTGATATTGTTTCATTGGAGACAGTGTTCATTCTACTCTGGGCCTAAAGGATAAGGGTAATTACAGGACCGGTGTTTGTCCTCCTTATGTGCATGGCCTTTTCAGTCTGGGATTTATCTTAATGACCTTCACACAAAGACACCCAACTGTGAATTTCCCCTCATTAATGAGCTCTTGGATCCATTAACATTTTCTCAGCACCCACTATCCTCTCCTGGACTGTAAGCTACATGGTGGTTCTGGAAATAATCATGCTCACACAGCGAGTGAATATTTTAACTCCCGAAAGGCCTCACCCTCGCCCTCCCTGTTTACTTTAAGATTAACATGGTCAAGGTTTTCCTAACACATTTTGGCTTTGCACCAGATAGAAGCAGCACTGCAACCCAGGAATCTCACAGAAACATGGAACGGATGTTTTGCTGTTTAACTTGCAACAGGGTCTCTTGGCAAGAGAGAGGTTAAAGTCAGAATTTCCTGTTCCCCATCTCTTTGGGCCTCAGGCATTTTCTATTGTCCCTAGAAAGTGGAGAGGAAGATGCCAGACTCTGCCATCTCTCAGGGTCACTGTAGCACTTTCAATTGTGTTTCCCTTTGGACACGTGCTGCAAAATGTATACAAACAGCTGGCTGAGCCAGTGTCGCAGGGAACAGCTGGGTGAGTCCTTAACATAGACAATGTAAAGGCAGCGTCTTTCTCAGTGACATGCCCCATATACTTTTCCTCAACTGTACTTTTGCATGAGCTTAGACTGTGAGACATTATAATCATTTGCTGTCACAGTGATATGCTGCCTTACATGCCAAGCATCTGTCCAGCTGTTCCCTCCAACATCATGATCTCACCCAGGGTGCTGTAGTAGGTCATTAGGGCTTCCTTCTGCCTTGGCTTTCCTATGGCAGCATCCAGGGATTTCCAATTGAAACAGAACACAGTGCTCACTCTCTGATACTTCCCTTTCACAGATGAATATGATGACAAGCAGCCACTGACCAGCAAAGAGGAAGAGGAGAGGCGCATTGCAGAAATGGGGCGTCCCATCCTGGGAGAGCACACCAAGTTGGAAGTGATCATTGAAGAATCCTACGAATTCAAGGTATGCTCATCAACACTGCCCACCAGGAGCCAGGCCCACCTGGGGACCGAAACTGTTCAGAGTGTTGGCTGAAGCTGTAAGATCCATCTGGAAAGAGGGGTAGATATAATTTCAGGGATTGGCTCATTAATTGAGAGCCTTTGGAGCCAAACTGGAATTACAGAGTTAGTCGGGAACCAAGGAGTCCTGTCAGCCAAACAGCATCAGAACCAGGGCCCAGCAGGAGGTATCCATCACTGCACAAGATCAGATGTGCCCCCAAGGGAAGGCTTAACTGAGTGGATAGCAAGCAGTATGCCAAGATGGATCCTAAGAGATTGCTATGTGTGGAAGAAACCAAGTTCTATTTGAAAATGCTAATACATCTGTCAAAGCAAGGCATTCACACTGCTAAAAATTAGGGGGCTTTTGTTTTGGAGGGGGATAGGAATGTCTCCCTGTGGAACATCCCACTGACAAACTCTCATCTATATTTAATCATCCTCTTCAGATCCAAGGACATTTTAGTACAGTCAATATACTGAAGGTACAATGCCTGCAACCAGAGTTTAGATTTGAGCTGATAAAATTGGATTTCCAGTTCTCTAGATGATAAAAGTCATTTTTGCAGAAGTTGAACGTGTGAGCCTTGGGGTGGAGTTTAAGTCTTTGAAGTGAAATTTCCTGTGGATCTCTAGCTGCTCCCTCTGACCCTGTGTCCCCTCACAGCCCTTCTCCCTTACGTGGTCCTAGCATCTGGGAAGACCATAAGGGGAGCTACACCTAAGTTCTGCAGTGAGATATGAAAGGTACATCCCCTCTCTTGCTTTCCAGAATTATAAACCCAGAGCACAGCAGCATTTTACCTGCTTTTCAAAAGCAAACTGTTCCTGTTTGAAACACTAAAATGAAGATTACAAAGGAGAGAATCAGACCACCAATTTAGAAGTTTCAGATTTTAGCTGGACTTCCCATAATAGTGGCCTCTTTTCCTGTAGCTGAATCCATTCATTATTTTTTAATTTAGTTCACAAATGGGGGTGCCTGATAGGAGACAGGTAGAAAACAAATCGTCTTTGAAATTAAAGTGGAATATTTTTAAGATAAAAATGCAATTAAACTTTGCCCTTCAGGCCACTGAGAATCTATCTGTTAACTCTTCACTCATTTCCATAGAAGGAGAGGGCAAGGGTAAATACTGGAACCAATGCTTTCTAGGCAGACCTGATCATTAGACATTCCCACACACACCCCTGTTGTATGACACAGAACTTGGCTTGTTGCACAGCCATGCCTGGAACAGGCACAGTTCCTTGTAATTCCACAAGTCCAAGAATCTCAGACTGTCCATTTCTGGTGATCAGTCTACTGATCTCTTCTCCGTATATCCAACCTCTCTCTTCCTCATTCACCCTGTTTTCATTAGGAATCAGATTGCCTGGTGCCATTTGCTGCAGTAGAGATTCTATGAGTTGGTATTTCTGAAGCAAGCTTGCCCCTGCCCTTTCCTAGAGTTCTCCTGGGAAATTGCGTGTTCTCTCCCTTATGGGATAATCCCCAACCTTCCCTTGCCATGCATTCATGATAGGAAGAGTAATCATAATAACTTCTGGCAAGAAGCATTAAGTAAGGCAGGGCACAGTCTTTCAGGCAGCAAAGCTTTCTTGGGTCCAGAGCCCTTTCTGGTAACCACAATAACTATCTGAGCATTTGAAAGTCCCCCAAGTCTCTCTACAGGAATCTAGTTGTTTGGGGTACTCATCCTTGTGGGATAGCTTCCATAGACTATTGCCTGTCATCGCCTCAAAGTTCATCAGGATAGTTACCATTAATACCTACAAGGCACGTTAGAGGCATGTTTTAGAACTGCTCTCAAGTATCAGTTTTGATTTTATGTTATTTAAGAAATTTCTTTTACTAGAACATAGCTATTTTAAAGAACTTACTCAGAGCTCCCAGAACTGTGCTAGAGACCCAGATCTGGTTGATACCTTAAAATGGCCTGCTCTGCTTTACTCACTGAGTTCTTGTTTACTATGGTGTGACTGAGGACCTGGCCTTACTAACACCCATTGGGGAGGGTGAGGTTTTTGCAAGCCCTTGAAAATCTAGTGCAGTGAAAAACTGATCACTGGCATTTAGGAACCCCCTAGGTAGGTACAGACAACAGTGTCCAGGCTCACGTGTCTGAAGTTCAACTTCATCTTTATTCACTCCTGTTTCTACCAGAGGTCAAAGAAGGACATGTGCAAATTAAGTCCTAGGAAGAACCCTGGATATGGGGTTAACATGAACTATAGTTTAAAATCTACCCTGGGTTTTACACATAGAAGTTTAGTTTGTCTTAAAAGTTTGTTCTTTAGCAGCAATTTCTTGAGTAAAGTCTGTGCTCAATGTTAGAGAAATTTATCTGTTCATTTGTTTATTTCCCAGGTGATGGGATACTCCGTCATGGATTCAGCACAAAGAGTGCCTCTTTAGAGAGAACCATCCCAAGTTTCCATTACACTAGGAAAAATTGAGGTCATTTCTTATTACATTCTACAAGGCACTTTGAATTTGTATCACTGAGGATGGTCAGGGTACTTGATGAGATGTGGCTGAGTTGAGGGAGGAAAGACAGATGATGGTCATGTGCTTTAAATGATGGTGGCCAAGAGCAGTGACTGTTACCAGGGGCACCAGCAGTTCTAAACACAAAGCTAGAAGCTGAAAGGTCATCACCCTAAGGACAAACCATTCAGCCAAGAATAACGTCACAAATAAAGAGTGAGCCAGTCGGAGATGGGCCCTTTCATGCTTATTATCTGCTCAATGTTTCAAGTCAGTTCCAATGACTTCTTGAGCAAACATGCTTGATATTAGGATTTGGCGTTGGCCTTTCATACAAGCTCTTTAGATAGCATTTTGCCTCCTCTCAGTTAGCTGAAAATGTGCTCTCTCACAAACTATCATCAATTCAAGTACACTGCATTAAACATACACAGAATTTGACCTATGGCAAATAATATGTTTTCTACCTCTTTGCAATTAGCGGAAATTCAAGGCTGCTCTGACAGTAAGTGTGGACTTTTGGTAGAATAGTCAATGTGGTAGTTTCTCTGGGAAGAGCACATTAGTGTCTTGGAAATGACCCTTCTCCCTGTAGTTGCCATGGCTTAAAAAGTTCCAAGGAAAAATAAGGGGTATGCAGTACAGTGCTAGTAAAGCAGGGAGACTGGGACAAGGTAAACTGCAACATGCCCTAAATCATAATAACTGACCTCTTCTTGTCTTATTGTCTGTTCTTGTATGCAATAGGCATAGGGTGAGCATGGAATTCTCTAACAGGCAAGAGGCTGACAAACTAGTACCCAGAGAAAAATCCATTTACTGATGACTATGCAGCAGGCAACCTGGAGACGCCATTATCTGGCTTCATTTCACTGATAAACAAAAAACAGTAACAATAGTTTTTGGTTTCATAATCTGTCGCTTCCAGCTACTCGCAGATATGTAGTGCTGAGCAGGGCATATATTAATCCACTTGCAGACGGAACACTACAGATGAAACCAGTAGAGAAGCAAGTTAATAAAGCATTCTGGGAATGGATGGGCTTTTGCAGCGTCTGCTATTCTAAACACTGAGGCTATTCTTCATTGGCCATCAGTCAGTGAAGGAGACTTGTATTCGCTACAAAGAAGTTTCCATTTCAGAATGTTTCCAACTAAGGAGCATGCTTGTTTGCATAATCATAACAGTGTTTGATGTCAATACTGTTGTTCTGAGCCTAACATCTGCTACCCTTTATATAACTCTGGAGTTTCAAAATCAACAAGTTCTTAGATTTCCTGAGGCCTTAACACACTCAGCACTTATTATATTATTCATTTCAACCTTTCTAGAGTACCGTGGACAAACTCATTAAGAAGACAAACCTGGCCCTTGTGGTTGGGACAAACAGCTGGAGAGAACAGTTCATTGAAGCTATCACTGTCAGTGCTGGTGAGTGCCTTTCTCTGCATATTAGAAAGTAAAATGGCCCAACCTGAGCTGAGTTTTCCTACTCTGACTACTGGTCTATGGCAAAGCACCAAAGGGCTACCATGGCAAAATTTTTTTTTTTAAAAGAAAGGAGAGAAGGAAAGAAAGAAAAAAAAGGAGTGAAGGAGAGGAAGAAAGAGGAAGAAAAAGAGGGAGAGAGAACGGGAATGTTGCTTTATTCTAAAAATGGGTATTAAAAACCTCTTTTATGCCAATAATTGTGCTTAATAATGGCCGATCAATATTCCATTTAAACCTATGAGTAGGTGTGATGTGGTACTGATAAGAATGTATATTTTGTGTATTTAAAGTGGAGAGTTCTATAAATATTAATTAAGTTTACTTGTTCCGGATCTGAGTTCAAGTCCTGGATATCCTTATTAATTTTCTGGCAAAATTAATTACTTTTACCATGGTAAAATTCAAAGAAAAAATAAGCGTGTTTGTTACATATGTGTGCATTTTAGAGACTCGATTAGACTGTCTAGAGGAAGAAAATGTTTTCAAACATGACAGTTTTCTCTGGCTACATTGCATCTTTCTGGAAATAGACAAGATCAGTTTAAAGTGTTTTGTGTCCCTAATTCACGAATAGCCCATCACTAGGCTTTGTTTGGAAAATTCCCTGTAAGCATTGCAAAAGCAGCCAAGTGAAGGTCAAGAAGAAAGCAGCAAAATCCTAGGTAGAAAGGGAAGACATTGAGACACTTGACCACTGCCGTCTGCATCATTTTACACTCTCTTCAACAACATCTAACAAATAAGTGTTTGCATTGGCTCTAGAAATAGAAACAGAATTACATTCTGTTTCTTCTTGCACAAGCAAAGGGCAGAGTTTTATTTAAGAAGATCCTACAAAATGAAGTGTTTTTCGAAGTCGAGGAGTCAGAAACCTGAGGGAATTAAATACAGGGAGAAGCGTCCTCTTCCTGTTACTGTCAAACTCTGTCCATTCTTTGTGTGACTATATAACCAGAGAGGAAAGTCCCTCTTCAAGATTCATGAAAACAACTCTGTCCTTGGATTCTGTTTTTCTCTTCTTCTGCTCCAAATATACTATTTCTTTAAAGATCCCTGCAGGCTCATCTTCTACATTTGCAACTCATGAACAAAGGTAGAGTTTTCTAAATACCTAGTGACTCCCAAGCTGTAAAATTTAGAAACTGTGTCTCTAGCAGTTGGGCCATGGTTGCTAACCCAACTCCCTCTTACCAGTCTACCACAGGGTAAGTTGACACATCTCCCAAGTGCTGTGGGAACAGAGGGTAGTAAAACTTTGGTGCCTGTTTATTATTAGTGCTGTTGATAATCTTGCTTTGGTTTCTTGCAGTTGAGTATACACTGGGAATTTATGAACAGTAAATGGTGGGTAACTGCTCGGAAGAGTAGCTTTTGGAATTTGCATGTAAGCTCTAAAAGGAGGGGGAAATTTCCTTTTATTTCTTATGTTTTAAGATTAATATGTGAGGCACGAGCTATATTCCTTCTTCACAGAGAGAAAAGACAAAAATTGCTAGTATAGGAAACTGCTGACAAAGCCAATCGTAGAAAACATTAAAAATGAACACACTTTTATGGGTTTTGATGTGGCAGAATGGAAACATTAACATCATTATAAGCTTGATAGTGAGCCATTTCTATGTTTTCTTAGCTGCAGGTATGTGAGCATTTGTATAACAACCATAAGCTGGTCATCATTCCTTCATTTTTCTATGTCAATTATTGTTCTTGGTGCAAAGCAAATGACAGTGAATGAAACAAATAACCCCTGCCCATGTGGAGCTTACAATCTAATGGAGGACACGGTAAAGCAGACAGATAAATTAAAATAAAGTATATTATTAATGGTAAGCTTGTCATGGAGAAAAGCAAAGCTGTGGAGGGGAATGGGAAATATGTATAGGGTCTGCAGTTTCAGAGAGATAGCCAAGAAGACCCCCTCAATAGACATATGAGGCCAAATTTGCTTTTCCAGCAGTGGAGTGGTTTATGTTGGTTCATTCACATAGTTGTGTGACTCTCAGGGAAATATTTTATGACCAGTGAGTAGGGGTATGCTGCCAACAAGGCCAGTGTCATGTATTTGATTCTGGTGAGAATAGATATACAGAGAAACAACTATAAAGACATTAATACTGATTTACTTAAAAGAGGTGGATTTTGACTTGCAAACACTTTCATATGTTGTGTTGCATGAAATCCTCTTAGTATTATAATTATCCTGATCTTATTGAGGAAGAATATGAGCCTGAGAGGCAACATGGCTTTAGAACATAGCTCAGATCCCAGATCTACTGGAGACTAGTCCAGTTTGCTATCTACAGCCCTTTAGAAAGATGGAAATTCCAGCCGGGTGTGGTGGCTCACACCTGTAATCCAGCAATTTGGGAGGCCAAGGTGGGTGGATCACCTGAGGCCAGGAGTTCAAGACCAGCCTGACCAAGATAGATAAACTCCATCCCTACTAAAAATAAAAAAAATATATTAGCCTGGTGTGGTGGCGCATGCCTGTAATCTCAGTTTCTTGGGGAGGCAGGAGAATCACTTGAACCTGGAAGGCAGAGCCTGTGGGAGCCAAGATCGCGCCATTGCACTCCAGCCAAGTCAACAAGAATGAAACTCTGTAAGAAAAGAAAAAGAAAAAAGAAAAGAAAAGTGGGGAAGGAAGGGCAAGGAAGGAAAGAAGGCAGGAAGGCAGGAAGGCAGGAAGGCAGGAAGGCAGGCAGGCAGGCAGGCAGGCAGGCAGCCAAAATGAAGAAAATGGCTCCCTTCTCTGTCTCACAGACAGAGAGACTGGCTGTGTCATGTCACTTGTGGCCATGGTGTTATCATTTCATGATGGGACTAACTCCTTCCCAGATATTTTGAAGAATTGTTAATAATTGAGATGCAAAACCTCTCAAATGTTCTTATATATCATACAAAATATTGTGCTTTATATTTCTAAATGACTGCTTGGAAATAAGGCACAATTGCTTAAAAATTCGCAAGCTGCTAGGTAAATTGACCTTATTTACAATTCTGAAATACAGTGTATCAGAAAAGCAAACCCATGTTTTAAAAGCACCAAATTATGCTCAATTACATGAAGGACAGTTTTAAAAGTTAAGTATTTGTCATTATGATTCAATTTAAGTGTCTAAAGAATGTCATATTCTCAGGTTGTTACACGGGCAATAACATTTGTAAAGCAGCATTTATTGAAGTCAGCCTTTCACTGGATTTTAAAATTTCATAGCTAAATAGTTGAGAGTCAGAAAGATTTGCCTTATTACAAATATTAAATTGCTTTTAAAGGGCTCTGCTGAGAGGTTTCTTTGCTATGCAATCTTCTGTGCAAAATTGACACAATATATCTTGCTAAACAAAAATAATAATTTTGTAAATAGGGGTTTGCTTTTCTTTCTCAGTAACTGTATTCAAACGAGTTTCAAAGCCAACCCTGTGGTAATATTCTTGTCCCCCTGTTTTTTTCTGAATTTCATAGCTGAGTACTTGGGCTTCCTATGACCATAATGATTCTACAAACCAAGTTCTTTTAATTCCATATTTGAAGAGTTAAAGGATTTATGAGACTGGAGAGATTTGGAAGGGATTAGGCGGAAACATCCTGGCAGTTCTCCTGTTTCTTCCTGGGTTGAACACTAGGTGCAGCAGGTGCTGCAGTTCAGTGGCTGTCAAAAGCTTGCAAGGCAAGCCCAGTAACACGAGGCGCTGTTAAGATGCGCCAGCATATGCCCTTTTCAATGAAGCCAGCATTCACTGACCAGTTTGAATTTTTCTCAAATGTCTCTCCTTCTACCAGGGCAGAATGGTTAGTTGCCTTTTAGAAATCATGTGCGAGCTGAGATATCCAGGGAAACAAGTGTGTCAGAGAAGAGGGCAAACCTTAGCTGGATAATGGGAACCAGGTGCCAATGCCAGTTCCACAACCAGCACATTGTTCTTCACAATAGCTTTCAGCAGAGGTGAGGCAAAGTTGAGAATAATTGCAAGGCTGGCTTTGGAGACAGATGTGGTTTTGTGTCCCTGCCCTCCAGAAACTCCCTGGATGACTCTAGGAAGATTACTACACTTCTAGATCTCAGTTTGCTTACACCTCAGAATCTGTTTGCTCTTATGTAAAGTAGAGATAACTGCGCTTCATTCACGGAGCTGCCACAAGGATCAATTAAAATAGTGTGTGTTTTCACAAAGGCAATCTGTACATGTAAATACCAAAGTTGGTTGTTTGGGAGGCAAATCTATTAAAGATCCTATAAAATATGACCAAATTTTGTGCAAATACAGTTAATTCAATTTAATTACTAAAATGGCTGTGGGACTGAAAACGCACTGGTTCACTTCTTTCATAGTATTATGCATACCATTATATAGATAAGAACACTGAGATTCAGAAAAACAATGTAACTACTTGCTCAAGAAGCAAAACTGTTAAGGGGAAGTCCCAGGGAACAAATCGGCACAAAATCCTCTCCAGTATGAAGGGCACACTTGCTTGCTGTGCACATACAAACACACATGTAGAACACATATATACATAGGTACACAGAGACATGTATGCATTGTGCAAACACATGTAAACAGAGATACACACGTCAATCCATACAAATCAGGTATGCACATATACAAACATAAGCACACACATGCACAAAGACACATATGCCCAAAACATGCACATGTTGACATTCACATGTACATTATATAGTAGGTATTTGTTTGGATACTGGAGCTGCAGCTTGAAATAGAAAGGTCTTTTTTTTTTCCTTAATATTTGTTAAGTCTCCTTATAGTCTGGTGCATAAGTTCCTTGGGGAGAATGCCAGTCAATTCCCTAAAGAACAAAGGGAAGAATTTGTTTTCCTAGGTGCACCCATAGGCTTCTCCTGCCTAGAAATCTGTGACATTCTTTGAAGTCAACACACTCCTCTCTCTTTTACTTAATATTGAATATCCAGCAT